GAAAAGGAGGAGGAAGAGGAAAAGGAGAAGAGGAGGAGGAGGAGGAGAAGGAAGATGAAAAGGAGGAGGAGGAGGAGAAGGAAGAGGAAAAGGAGGAGGAAGAGAAGGAAGAGGAAAAGGAGGAGAAGAGGAGGAGGAGGAGGAGGAAGAGGAGGAGAAGGAAGAGGAAAAAGAGGAGGAGGAGAAGAGGAGGAAGAGAAGGAGGAGGAAGAGGAGAAGGAGGAGAAGGAAGGGGAGAAGAGGAGGAGAAGAAAGAGAAGAGGGAGGAGGAGGAGGAGATGATGATGACTGCTGTGTGGTACTTGGTGCTCTCTGAGCTTGGCTGTTTTCTTGCAGACCTTTCATGACCCAACTAGGGAACATCATCAGTGCTAGAAGGGAGAGGAGAGGCGAAGGAAGGAAGGAAGGAAGGAAGGAGGGAGGGAGGAAGGAAGGAAGGAAGGACAGAAGGACAGACTGTGGGGTCCTTGGTGCTCTCTGAGCTTGGTTGATTTCTTGCAGACATTTCATGACCCAGGAAGGTGACATCATCAGTGCTACGAGGGAATGGGCTTTGTTCTCTGATTAGATACAGTGACTAGGTTAAAGGACAGCCGAACCAAGGAACTAGCTAGAAGAAAACCACAATCCCACTAACATTGGCAGGGCAAGCTAGGGCCTATAAACAGACGGCAAAGCCATGAACGAAACGGGGGATAAAACTCTTTTGTAGAGTTTTAATAGAGACAATTGTTGTGGGTGGACAGACACAACCAAAGCAAAGCAGGAATCATTTCTCACCCTTCTCCCAACGGACGTTGGAATCTTATTCAATGTACTGTCACACAGACCCTGCGCCGAAAAAACTGGCCGAAAAGCGTGAAGGCCTACAACCGCATTTTGCAAACGTTCGCATTCAATATCAAATCTCCAAAGTGCAAAAGTCTGACCTCAAGGGACTCCCTCCTCAAAAATTTCACATTTCCAAATCCTCAAAAGGTCAACGAGGTCTTCTCTGGTCAAATCTGGAGGCATCTCACTAGCTTTAAGAGAAGGGCGTGAAGACGCCCATGAAATGCTCCAGGGCTTGGCGAATATGCTCGAGAGCGTAGAAGCATGGAGCGCGGAGCATAGAAAGCAACTCTCTTTTGCACATTGCCCAGGACAACGGCCGCCGCGTTGAATCCACGCCTCAGCCGTCCACCACTTTCCTCATGAACCACATTTCTTCAGCCGTCAAGGGTTTCAAATCGTAGCCTTTCAGCTCCGGTTTACCTGCAGGAAGATTAAGGAGACGTCGTGAAACCATTAGCAGCCGGTTTGGTTCAGGGGCTTAAGGCACCAGGCGGCGGTGAGTTGGAGTCCCATCATTGGCGTGAAGGATGGCGGGGTGACTTTGGGCCAATCCCCAGGAGACGAGTTCTAGTCCCGCCTTAGGCATGAAAACCGGCTGGGTGACTTTGGGCCAATCACCAGGAGATGGTGAGTTCTAGTTCAGCCTTAGGCATGAAAAGCAGCTGGGTGACTTCGGGCCAATCACCAGGAGACAGTGAGTTCTAGTCCGGCCTTAGGCATGAAAACCGGCTGGGTGACTTTGGGCCAATCACCAGGAGACGGTGAGTTCTAGTTCAGCCTTAGGCATGAAAAGCAGCTGGGTGACTTTGGGCCAATCACCAGGAGACTGGGAGTTCTAGTCCCGCCTTAGGCATGAAAGACGGCTGGGTGACTTTTGGGCCAATCATCTGGAGATGGTGAGTTCTAGTCCTGCCTTAGGCATGAAAGCCAGCTGGGTGACTTTGGGCCAATCACCAGGAGACTGGGAGTTCTAGTCCCGCCTTAGGCATGAAAGCCGGCTGGGTGACTGGGCCAATCCCCAGGAGACGGTGAGTTCTAGTTCCGCTTTAGGCATGAAAACCGGCTGCGTGACTTTGGGCCAATCCCCAGGAGACGGTGAGTTCTAGTCCCGCCTTAGGCATGAAAGCCAGCTGCGTGACTTTGGGCCAATCCCCAGGAGTCGATGAGTTCCACCCCGTCCCAATTCGTCGTGAAAGCTGTCAATCCCCGTCTCCCAGCCTACCCCACCTGACAGTTCCTGTGGGCAAACAAGGAAGAAGGGAGTATTAAGTATATATAAAAATAAATAAAGCCCAGATACAAAACCTAAATAAAATTAAGAAATAAAAATAATTTTAAAAAAAGAACCTGTCTGCTTCCTCCTCATCTACCACATCGCCTCTGGGATTTTGAGTGGTAGGGAATGGGCCAAAAATACTCAGGGGATCACTGTGAATTTTGGGGGTTTCCCAGCTCCTAGTCCAGCCCCTTCCCCACTGCCCCACACGGCCTCTCAGGAACAACCTTCCGACTGGAGAGAAGGAAATCTTCCTTGTGCCACTCGGTGCTCCAAACAGAATCCAACAGCTGTCAGGGTTCCAAGTAACGCCCCCCCTAGCAGGTAGATTCCTCAAAGAACACCTTTATTGGGAGATATCGTATTGGCACAGGCTGGTGAAAACCAACTCTGAGGGTTCCCGTGGTTTTCACCTCGCATATTTTTCTGTTCTGACCCAAACCTTGTTCCAAAGAAACAAACACAAAACGGAGGTAACAGCAAAACATTTGGAGGATTCTCAACAAATTCCCTTCCTTCCTGGTGAAAAGGCTGTTTCAAACTAATTGTCTCTGATATGAAAGAGCCTTGCCAAGGTGGTGCAAATCTGCCAAGAACAACAGGTAAAGTTGCCAAGAAATAGTTCAAACACAAAAGAGTCTCCAAACACCAACTAAGAGAGTCTGAAAGCCCACAAGGCTCGAGTGCAAAAACGTCGTTGCTTCCTGCAAAGAACTGTGATTTCTCGGCTGGCTTTTATCTCCTCGGGGAGGGGCTATCAACTTGCAACCTTACTCCTGAGTCGCCCGTGCTGCTGCAGCTGCTCTTCCTTACGAGCAGCCCTGCATGCACGCGCAGTGGGCACAGGCTCCTCGGGGGCCTCTTCCTCACTGCTGCCGGCCTCCACCCTCTCCGAAGGCAGTACTCCACCTCCCTGATGGTCCTGGCCCCATCCCTGCCTCCCACGCAGGCCCCCTCGTCCTCGCTCTCTGAGACCTCAGCCGTCCTCACCTGCTGCCAGCGAACCACAACATTTTCAAACTATAAGACGCACTTTTTTCTCCCCCCCCCCCCAAAAAAAAAGTGAGTGGAAATGTCTGTGCATGTTATACAGCGAATATGGACCTTTTTTTTTTTTGGCCTTCCGAGACCTCTGCATGTCCTGTTTTGGGCCTCCCTGACCCCCGAGGGCAAAAACGGGACCCGCGGAGGCCTCTGGGATGCTTCTGAACGCCGGGGAGGAGACAAATGGGATGCGCAAAGGCAAAAAACTTATTTTTTGTTTCTTGTTTTCCTCCTCTAAACCTAGGTGCGTCCGATCGGTCCAGTGCGTCTTATGGTCCAAAAAATACGGTAATTTAAAAATGTAAGTTTCCCTTTTCTCCCAAGCAGTCCCATTGACCAACATACGTGCTGGCTGCTTGCTTGGTTCCTCCTCTTTTCTCCAGCCAGCGGTTGGAAGTTCCTTCCTTCCCAGGAAAAAGTATTGTGTTTTGGCTACACAACCCCAGCTATCTCTATTCCACACACACACACACACACACTTCCTATCCCTCAGCTCCAGTGCGTTGACAATAGCACCAAGCAAGATTAAGATGACATTCAACACAATTAGCACATGGAAAAGGCGAAGAAAAGGCAACTGCGGTTTCCTTTGGAACCAGGTTAGGGAGGCAGTGGGGGGACCTATCTACCTTGGGCTTCCATGAGGTTGCTAACTTTCACTTTGAGCTCCTCCTGCAATTTCGCAATTTCTTCCTCCAACAGCTCTTGATCTGTGGAAAAAGACAAGAGAACCAACCCTTAGTGAGATTGAAAGCCCACACAGAGGCCTGCTGGAATTTTCCATGAATTAACTCAAATTAACTGCATTAAGTAATTCAGATTAATTCCATTAACTGGTTCAAATTGCGTTAATTAATTTGAATTCATTCCATGGGTTCAAATTGCATCAATTCAAATTGATTCCATTAAATAATTCAAATTAATTCCATTAAATAATTCAAATGGATCCCATTAATTGATTCAAATTAATTCCATGGATTCAAATTCTACTAATTGATTTAAATTAATTCCATTGGTTCATTCAAATCAATTCCACTGATTGATTCAAATTAACGGAATTAATTCA